GTTAGAGTGATATTTTTTCTTAATATAGAAATCTAGGTGGGTCTCAGGACGGGGCGTCTCATGCCTGGATCCCGGATGGCCGCCATGGGCACATGGTGAGCCGTTCTCCCCGGGCCTGCTGGGTTTCGGGGGCCGCTTCCTTCGGGGTGAGTAGACCGAGGGGGGGAGGCCTCCGGGACTGGGCAGGTCCGGGGCCCACCCGCCGCCTTCATGGGGCGGTGAATGGGATTTGGGAGGGGCGCGACCTTGGGCCTGGGTTATTTAAACCTCCAGCAGCCTCCTGGCAGCTGGTGGGTCTCAGGACGGGGCGTCTCATGCCTGGATCCCGGACGGCCGCCATGGGCACATGGTGAGCCGTCCTCCCCGGGCGGCCAGTGCGCCATTGGTGCCAGGCTCCGCCTGCTGGCCGCCCGGCCCGGGAGCTCTGGGGATTTGGTTCTTTGAGTTGCTGCTTAATTAGCTCCAGGTTGAACCCATTGTGCTTCTTGGACCTGAAACAGGCAGTAACTCTTCCTTAGCAAAACTTGTAATCACTAATAATGCTGAGCACCAAATACCAGTCATGCAGAAGCTATGGCTTGGGGCTTGTCCTGCACAAGTAGCTCCAACAGCTGGCCAAAGTGTCAACTGGTAATGGAACAGAGTAGATTAGGCACGACTGAGCAAACCTTAGCCCACAAGTAAAACTAGAAACCAGGAGGGAGCAGAGGTCATGCCGAGCTAGGCTCTTGTACCTGCTGGTCTGTGGGAGCCTGGGACGCTAAGCCACAGTGTCTAAGGCAGAGTTCGGGACAGGGGAGGGGCTGTGCCAAGCTGAGTCAGAGCATCCATTGGCAGGCATGTGATCTATGGCTGGGACAGACCCGGTTGGGGAGCAAAGGGGACAACCCTAGCTGGGCTGAGGTTCCCACCAAGAGGCGCGTGGCCTGGAAGGGGGCTGCGTTCTGATCTGGAAACAGTTGTAGTCTCCCTTGGCACAAGTGTGGACTGGGATTGAATGCACCGAACTGGGCCGGACCCCGACTCCCCCTGGTGTTCTGGAGGACCAGGGCAGATGTGGGATGGACTAGGCAGGGTCTCAAACCCCTACTGAGCCATGTGTGAGCCATACGTGGGTATGGGCAAACCATGTCTGGGCTGGAACATCCAACAGCAAGAACCAGATTGGGTTGAAGGCCAGTCAGGAAAAGCCACAGTTCCTGCTATGACAGGAGGTGGACTGAGTAGGGTTGGCTCATGGACCCACTGGTAAGCGTGAAACCTGGCATTGGGAGAGGTTCTGATGGAGGAGCCTGGGCAACTCCTCTGGCAGGGCACAGACCCAGTAGGTAAACGCAAGAAACATGATAGGAAACAGCCCAGAAAAAGCCATGGAAAACTACCCACTGGCATACAATTGGCAGACGTGGGGGCAAGACCAGGCTGAATCTGTCCACGTCATCCACTGGCAAATCCAGGCACCAGTGTGGGTCGACCCAGGTTCGGTCGCAACAAAGACTAGTGCACATTATGGAATGCCGAGGTGAGGTTGCCTGTACCGGAAGGGACCGCAGCGCCCAACCAGCCTGAGAACAAGAAAGGAAGTGGGCAGAGCTGGCAGGGGAATAAGGGAGGGTTCCTTTGCTGGACAGCTACTTCCGCAGGAGAGCATGGGCTGGGATGGGGGCAGACCAGACTAGGCAGAGCTACCACACCTGTGCGCCTCATGTGGACTAGATCAGGGAAAGGCCAGGCTGGGCGGATTATTCCTACTGGTGCAAACAAAATTAAAGTGGGCGAGGTTTGTTTGGGCAGCATCAACTGGAATCTGGGAGTGGGAGAGGCCTGGGAGGGAAATAGTGGGCTCATCCCTCTTGGGTTACCACTTCCATGGGAGGACATAAAACTAAGACAGCGGCTGGGGTGGAATGGGATGTGGGACAGACTGGATTACTGCTACACTTACTGGCAAACCAGGGTAGGGGGTGGGCCTGGTGGGGGTTATTGTGGGTCGCTCCAACCTAGGCTACAGCTCCTGCTGGTTTATGTGAGGGCCAAGTATGTGCTGGGCAGAACCAGGCTGGACTGCAACACCCATTGGTTCCAGTGGAAGTCGGGAGTGAAAACAGAACCAACCCAGGAATTGCAACCACCAGCTGATTGGAGCGATGGACGGTGCCAGGCCCTGTACTTGTTAGCACATACAAGAAGTTTCTTTGGAGATCTTCCTAATCTAAATGCTGGACTCAGAACCCTAACGAAGAAAAGAGAGAAGACAGAACAGGTCAACCAACCATCTCAGCTATGATGGACTATGTCAATCAGTGGATTTTTCAAACACCTCATAGTGCTTGGAGTGGCAAAATTGACAGTGATTCATAACTGTGGCAATATCAAGACCACTTGAGCAAGAACCTCAGAGCATGCCCTATATCCGGGACCTGGGGAGGGTGGGAAATTGGGTGGGCTTCTCCCTTAAATACCCCCCTTTGAATATGAAGCTAACAATATGGAAAACATACTAGTATTATCCACTTTCCTGTAGCCCTTGAACCTTCTTACCCTAATTAACTATGTAAAGAATGTCAAAATAAAATTTATTAATAAGAAAAAAAAAAAAAAAGAAATCTAAGTTGATTTTAAGAATTTATTTATTTATTTGAAAGAGTGAGAGAGAGAGAGAGGGAGAGGCAGAGATCTTGGATTTGCTAACAGGCAGCTATGTATGTGTTAGGCCAAAGCCATAAGCTTCTGGGTTCCCAGCATTGTTGTAGGGATCCAATATACTGGGGTATATTCCTCCGCTTTCCTAGGCACACCAGCAGGGAGCTGGATCAGAAGCGGAGCAGCCGGCATTGCAGCTGGCTCCCACATGGGGTACTGGCTTCATAGGAGGTGGCTTCACTTGGCTGCCCAGCAGTGCAGACCTCCTGTATCAGTTTTGATGGTAATCTATGATGTAGCTTGTCTGGTCTCAGGGAGCTTGAGTGGTTTAGGAAGATACCTTTTTCTAACCCGTTTGATGCGCTGGTCTTTGTCTCTAGCAGAGGACAGCAGCTGCAATCTCCTCAGCTCCTTTCACCTTCTGTCTTTGTGAATCCTTATCTCTGGGATTTCTTTCCTCATTTTCTGCTTTGTAATAGTTAAAAAATTAATGCTTTTTTCCCCAGTTCAGTATGACTGATTATTTCTACTTGATCTATATTCCCTTTCTATATAAATACTAAACTATGGAAGATAAACTCAGTATAAGAAGCAGGGGTAATTTTGTAACTGGCCTTCCATCCTTCTCCCCTTCCAGGAGTTGCAGCCCATACTTTATTTTCTTTGTGAGTTGCTGTTTAGTGATCTTAAACAATGTCTGTATTTTATAGAGGTTTTTATGACTTTATTTAGCCAGAGGGATAGCTTGATACAGTCTACTCTGTCATAATGGTAATAGGCACTAAGAATTTTTATAAGTTTAAGAAGATGATTTCAGTATTTAAAATAAGGCTTTTTAATAGAATATCCAGACAAAAATATAAAAGATTTTTTTTCAAGCAAGAGAAAGTAAAGAACAACCACGTTTAATGATAAATAAAGGATAATGAAAAGTAAAATATATGACATAATTTTGGTGTTATCATCTGTGAAATGAGCAAGATTATTATTGCTCAAAGAATAAAAATTAGATAAAGAATTTAAAATGTTAAGTTGAATACCTAATGAGTAATATCTGGATTTATTGGCACAATTTATAGAAAGGTCTTCATCCACTGTTATACCCCGTTAGATGGCTGTAGTGGCCAGGACTGGGCCAGGCTGACGCTATGAGCCAGGAGCTTTTCCAAACATGAGTCATTTTTTGCTGCTTTCTCAGACCATTAGCAGGGAGCTGGTTAAAAGTGATCTGGGACACAAATTGGTGGTGTCACAGGTGGCAGCTTTATGTGCTCTGCCACAGTGCTGGCCCCAAAATTCTGATTCTTAATTGGGTGCTATTTGAATAGTACTAGAATATTTGTAAATGTTAGTAGTTTGAGTGGTTGTAAATGAACAGTGTATATATATGAGTTGTGCTACGGAAATTGTGTTCCTAAAATCTGTAGAAAATTTACAATAACCAACTGGTTGTCTCAGAATGTTGGAGGAAGATAATGACTGCAAGTTACAGAATGGACACTGTGCAGTATATTGAGAAAGACAGCAGAAATGATTGCAAAGAATACTGCCTCCTTGTCCTCTGCAGGCGTAAAGCTGGGGCTTGGAAAAGGAACTAACCATTCCCTTTCTCCACCAGAATCTCCCCACAAACAGAGCCAGGTGTTGCAGACCGTCTTGTAGCTGTGTTTTTCCTCTTGCCCTTTTGTGAACTCCCAAGGTTAGTCAGTGGTTTCCTTCACGATTTCATTAGGAAATTTGCCAAAGGCATCCTTCTGAGGCAGCTGTCTCTGTACCCGTGGAGGCCATCAGTAATGTTTCAAGTCTACAGCAGTAGTCGGCGCAGAAATTTTGAACTCTTGCCTGTGTTCTAAAACATTCCACTGCCACCACTCCTCCCTTACCCAGTGTGAAAGATAACGTATTTTGAAATTTATTATGTGTTTGTGTTTACCTTTCCATGTAAAAAAAAATCTACCATTAGGATAGAATAATATGTTAACAATAATGAAAGGATCTTTTTAGCTTAATTCAAAGAATTACTGTGTATATTAGAACTCCTTGATGTTTATGGAATGACAGTTGCTTTGGTATGGAATGTTAGTTTTTATGTGAAGAACTGAGATTTTATAAATTAAAATATGTATTAATTGCATTCCTTTGGTCTGAGGTGATCAGATTCTGTGTTCATGCTCTTTTGTGATGTGTTTGGGAGATATTAAATATGGTGTTAATAAGTCCGTGGTTTGAATATCTTAGAAGAGATTGACATGTATTTGTGTTTTTTCCTATCTAATCTAATGATATAGGCAACTGTTATACCATATGCATCTTTAATTGTCTGACTGCTCTTATTTCACTAAACTGTCTTCCTGTAGCCACCCACACAGAATATGCCTATGGGTCCTGGCGGGATGAATGCAAGCGGCCCTCCCCCACCTCCACGCTCTCACAACATGCCTTCAGATGGAATGGTAGGTGGGGGTCCTCCTGCGCCACACATGCAGAACCAGATGAACGGCCAGATGCCTGGTAAGTTTTTCTCCTCTAAGACATTAACACCAGAGTTGCTTAGCAACTGAAACGACATGGGGGCTCGGGGGATACTAGATTGTTGATGACAAAACTGCTTTGAATGCCCCCGAGTCCAAGCTCTCTTAGAGTTTGTTAGCTACAGAGCTACGTGACCTGTATTCAGTGTTCATCAGACTGCCCTTGGGCTTTGATGTCGCTGACACACAGCATTCCTCTGATGAACACAACTGGCTAAATTTAGTCTGTCTGAGACTATGCAATACCGTTGGCTTTAGAAGCTTTTTTTGGGGGGGGGGAAAAGGCACTGCGCCATGGCTTAAGAATGAAATCTGTTTATAAAAAGATAAAACATTTCCATGAATTTTTATTTGCTTAAAAATGTATTGATCCAAGAAACGGTATCACTGGAAAAAACACAGGGAAAGAAGCCAGGCAGTCTTGAAGTGCTAGCATATTTAGTGTTTCTCCTTGATATTGCAAGATGACCTAGAATTTTGTTGATACATATGTTTTATGGGATTACATAAATTTGAGAATTGATTTAAAAAAAATTTAAAGCTGGGAAATAATGTAAGGTTTCTGTAATTTTTCCATGTTTTTCAAAATGCTCAGAAAAATGGAATTAAAAGTTTGCTTATTTTGGTGCAAAAATATTTTTAAAGTTTGTGTTTTTTTTTCCATAGTATACATGTTTCATTGGAATAGTATCTCTTATGCCACAGTATGCTTATTTAGTTTCCTTTTGCTGTTTTGAATTTTTAATCTGAAAACACCTTTTAAGCTATTCTGTTTCAATAACTTGCAAGACCCTTTACCATTGTTTTTGGTGTAGTTTTTTCTATATTTAGTATGAGAATATATTTACTCTCTAAAGTCACTTTTTTTTCACTAACAAAATATTAGAAGTTAATTATGATAACAGTAATTTGTTACTCAAGTTATAGATTAGCATTCTTAGGGTAAGTGCTTTTCTTAGGTGATTGTGTTGGTAGCTTTGGCATCAATGAATGCTGAGTACTAAAAAACAAGCAAGAGGACAAGCAGAAGAGATAACACAGCCTGGGTTGAGGGGGTTGATTGAGTGACTGATGGTGTAGGAGGGAAATGGTGTTTAGTGACTAGTTTTTATTTCTGCTAAGGCTTACAACATTGATGACCCACCATCAGTATCAGTGTAAAGCCATAAGCACTTTTCAGTTTCCAATCAATAGAAAGCTTCTTGCCAAATTCATATTGAGCTCCTAAGAGACATCATTAGAATTAGAAGGTACTGCTGGTTCAGGTTAGCTAGTCAAAGGAGTTTTATGACTTTGTATGTCAATATCTTTAATTGGGATTTTGACTTTTCCATGTAACATTCAAACCTAAGACCCAGGGAACATTGCATTGTTAATACATTTTAGCCCTTCTGTAAGGCCATCTGGAGTTTTTGTGTTCTTTCATATTTCATTTACTCTCTTTTTTTAGACAATCTAAGTGTCATTATTAAATTTTTTTAGGATTTATTTATTTGAAAGATTGAGTTATGAGGAGAGAGGGAGAGACAGAGAGGTCTTCCATTGTTTAGTTAACTCTACATGACTGCATCTGGACAGCAGTGCTGGTCCAGATCAAAGCTAGAAGCTGGGCATTTCATCCTGGTGTCCTCCAGAGGGGCAGGGGCTCAATTGCTTGAGGCTATCTTCTGCTGCTTTCAGAACTAAGCCATCATCAGGGAGCTGAATTGGAAGTGGAGCAGTTGGCATCTGTATGGGATGCTGGCCTGTGGGATCCTGACAGAGCTGGCAGCGGCTCAGTGCAACTTGTATTCTTTTATAAGCCAGAGATTATTAACCAGTTATGACCTAAGTTTTTCTCAGAATGTGGTACCACTTCCAAAGCAGTAAGAGTTGTAATGATATTTAGGAGAAATTAGGAGGCCAGTTACTTTTAACTTTTTTCCCTTGTTGCTCACAGCATTTAGTTAACATTTTTTTTTTAAGATTTATTTATTTTTATTGGAAAGGTAAATTTCCAGAGACAGAAGGAGAGACAGAGAGAAAGATCTTCTGCCTGCTGGTTCACTCCTCAAGTGGCTGCAATGGCTAGAGCTGAACCGATCTGAAGTCAGGAGCCAGGAGCTTCATGTGGGTCTGTCACTTGTGTGCAGGGTCCCAAGGCCATTCTCAACTTCTTTCCCCGGCTTCAAGCAGGGAGCTGTATGGGAATTTGAGCAGCTGGGACATGAATTGGAACCCATATGGAATCCAGGTGCATGCAAGAAGAGGACTTTAAACTACTAGACTGCCATGTTGGGCCCTATAGTTAACATTTTTGTACACATTAATTTGCATTTAATTTCTAAATTGCCTATTTTAGTTTCATTTTTAAAACTTTATAAGTTACAAAGTTACCTACATTATGTTTATTTTAAATTTTAAATGTTCTTTGAAAAGCTGAGAGATAGAAACAAGGTGGATCTCCTGTTTGCTAGTGCACTTTGCAAATTCCTGCAATACCTGGGTCAAAGCCAGGAGCTGGTAGTTTAGTCCAGGTTTCCTGTGTGAGCACCAGGTATTCCCTGGCTGCAGTATCACCAGCTATCTCCCAAGGTGTGCCTTTCATGGGTGTGGGATTGGAAATAGCCAGGGTGTAATATGGATGTTAAAATTCAGTTTGGCCAAATAGTGTCAATTCCAAGTTCCATCTTTTGTAAAAATAATTGATTTTAAAAAGCACCCCAGATTACGTGTGACTATGGAAGAAGAACAGGGTAGCCTGGCCAGTGTTGTGGCATGGCACGTAATGCTGTGTGCTGGCTCATGTTCTAGCTGCTCCACTTCTCATCCAGCTGTCTGCTAATGCATTTGAGAAGAGAACCCTTTGGGCCTCTGCATCCATGTGGGAGAGCTAGAGGAAGCGTCCGAATCCTCACCTTGAGCCAGCTCAGCCCTGGCCATGCTGCTGTCTGGGGAGTGAGGCAGTGGATGCATGATTCCCTGGCTCTCATTCTTGTTCACATATCTGCCCCAACTCTGTCAGAGTCTTTTAGATGAGTGAAACGTTGAAAAAAAATTAAAAATATTAAAAGGTACCAGAGGGCATGTAGTTCTTACCTCCAGGCATTTTGTTCTAGAGAGGTCAGGCTTGCTAGTTTAAAGCTGTATGAGTTTTTTAATTGGACAATTTTGCCAAAATGCTTGATATAAAAATAGTACTTATTTTCATTTCTGTTCCCTCAGCCCTTATGAAAGTACTGCTTTCTGTATAGTTGAATCAAAATCTTTGATTTTTGAAAATCTAAAAGATGAGGATTAGGTCTTGTAATTTCATTTTCTCCTGTTTATAGTCCTTTGGCGGTTTTTGCGGGAACTGGACACTCGTCCTTTCCCCGTGTCCTGCTGCCAGTGCTCTCTGACTCTACGTGTTGAATAGTTAATTTGCTCTATGATAGCATCTTAAAATTTTTGTTCAGATTTTTTATATAGCTTATTAGTCTTTTATGGCTCTTAAAGTTTCTGACTGAACAAGATCTTCTATTCCAAGATAATTAAAAATTCTTTTTGAAATTCATTTATGATTTTCTTCTCAATCTCTTTGATGTTTAAATCTTTTTTTTTTGTCCATCTGGAATTCGTTTTAGTGGAAGGAATGAGGTAGCAATTCAACTTTTTTGTTTTCTAGATACCAACGAGGTTGACATCACCATTTATAGAGTTTTCTGATAACTGCTGATATTTGGTATCAAGACTGTTGTCATTTACTAAATTGTATATTGAGGTTTATTTTTTGGATAATTATTTTTTAGTAAATTCTGTGTTGGGAGCTGTCTTTAGGTCACATTCCGGCCCATTAATATGTATTTGTTGAAGGGCTAGTACTGCACTCTAGTTTCATATGTTTTGCTCTCCTATAAAGCTGGCCTCATTGCTCTTCTTTAAAGGATTCCTGGCTTTTCAAATCATCTGTTTCTTAATCTGTGAAATGGGAAGAACATCTACCTCTTGGTATTTGCTATTATTTTATGTCAGCCATTTACTTGGTTTGCTGTTGATTAAGTTGATTGGAGTTATTGCTTGATATTATAATACAGGAAACTTAAAAAATTGCAAGATACTTTTCATAAAGACCATCTGTGTAACTTTTATATTTTGGTCCTTATTTTTCTTCAAAGGGCCTAATCATATGCCTATGCAGGGACCCGGACCTAATCAACTGAATATGACAAACAGTTCTATGAATATGCCTTCAAGTAGCCATGGATCCATGGGCGGTTACAACCATTCCGTGCCATCATCACAGAGCATGCCAGTGCAGAATCAGATGACAATGAGCCAAGGGCAGCCAATGGGAAACTATGGCCCCAGGCCAAACATGAATATGCAGCCAAACCAAGGTAATAGCTCTATGTCCTTCTTCACTAGAGTGCTCTATTAGCCTGAGAAAGTTTGTATTTTTAGTTGATTCATAAAAATATAAATTTAAAGTGACAGGCATATCAGAGAATGGGAGTGTTGAAATATAGAACCATGGTTTAAAAATTGGGTATTTTTCCTTTATATTTAAAAGCTAAATGTAAAATTAAAGTCTGGATTTAACTTTTAAGTTTATTTACTTTCATATCTTTATGGAAAATTTATTTGGAATTTTGTATTATATTTTTGGTTTGCTTTATTTGTTTGAAAGACAGTGATGGATGGGGTTGTGGCAGAGCTACACATGGAGACAGAGCTTGGTCTTCTGCGGATTCGCTTTCCAGTTTGCAACCAGTAGATCTGAGGCCAGAGCTAGAACAGCCAGGAACTCTGCTGGGGTCTCTTTAATAGGGGCAGGCACTCCAGCACTTGTGCCATTTTACTCTGCCTTTCCACGTGCATTGGCAGGAAGTTGGATTGGAAGCAGAGTACTTGAAGCTGGGACCTGGCACTGTGATTCAGGATGCCAGCGTGGCAAGGAAGGACTGAACTTACTATGCCCTCATGCTAGTCCCTGTGTTGCTTCTTACAGCTTGTCAGTGAATAACTGAACATTTGGTTTTGTTCTAGCAAGTTAGAAAATAAAACACTGCCCTTTCGTTTATTTTGTTGTTCCGATTTACCTGAATTTCTCTTGGTTTGTTTGCGTATTGTCTGATGCTAGTCTTCATTTGTATTTCTTTGACAATTGGTGAAGTTGCATAGCTTCACTTTTTGTATGTTATTTGCATGTTTTCCAGGAATTGCCTGTTTGTATCCTATAGCCTGTGGTTTATTTATTATTCATTTGTAGGTGGAGGTTATTCATTTTGTGTGAGTTTCACATGTGTGAAAATGTTTTTAATTTTTAAAGAATAGAAATTCGCCTTTAAGAAATGATTTATTCCAGTGATAGGATTCTGAACACTATAATATTACTTTCATGAAAAAATGCCTGCGTCTCTTAATTAAAGCAGAACTTTGACCCCATGTTAGATGATGACCCAGCTTTTAATAATTATTGGTAAAATAATTGGGAAGACTCAGCTTCTTTGTTAGCACATTATAAAGCTCCAGAAATTTTATAAAAAAGTAGTTTGATATTGGTGTAACTTTGTTTTAGTTTTTTTCTTTTTTTGGCATATGTAGTGAGTGAGTCCCTTTTGTGTGGTGTACTATCAGGCTATTTACATGCCTTCTGTAATTTGATTGATACGATATTTTTGAGATATGTAAAACCAGGTGATCCCATTTTGTGTGATTTTTATGTACTTCGATTTCTATTACTATTTTTTAGTGAAATAATACCTCTTTCCCAAACACATCATTCAGATTTCAGTTACTGTAGTATAGTAACTGTAATTGCATGAAATTCAAAGTTAGTTGCTGTCTTCAGTGCACACATCACTGATAAATATCATCTATCAGCATAAATCACTGATGGCTGCCAAGGTCAGGGGCCACTTATGCCACTTTCGCTTTCTGTTTATGATTGGTCACTATGCATCTAGCAGTGAGCCTCATGCATATGCAGCAAAGCCTGTAGCTGAGTTGCTTCCTTGGCTTACAGCAATAATCCTACACGGCATGTTATGAATTTGAATAATTGATAAAGGGAATTGGGCAACAAAGATGAAAGTGTAGCAAAGAAATGAAAAGTGATAACCCGGGAAATGAAATTCGAATCCAGTGTATAATGCAGTTGTAGAGGCACCTGCTTACCATGGGACTGTTGATGTTGCTGCCGTTTGAGGAACCCAAGGGATGCACTGCAGGTGCTTTATGAAGGTGAATTCGTTCATAGAGATGAGAAAAATGAGAAAGGGAGACTGACAAAGTACATTTTTTAAAATCTTGGAAATATTTCACATTCAAAGTGTATGTAAAGGATAAATATTGGAAGCTGATCCATCTTAGAAAGTAGTATGACAGTTTGTTAAGCTATAGGAAAAAACACACGCTCTGATTTGTCGTTTATACTGTGAGGAGATTGGAGGTGCTGTTCAGACTTCTCTTGATAGTATTTTTACAGTGAAATAAAATATTCATTCTCAGTATTCCCAGCGTTTGAAATGAGAATGAACTGAGTATTTTTTCATCTCCCTATGATTTGTAACTGACCATAACAGATTTTAGAGGCTGTGGAATAATTGTAGGTTTTCCTGTTGAGTGTTGACAGGTTTGCTTGATTTCAGTGTGTACAGTCTGTATAGTTCCATACTACTATATGAAATAGTTCAGGAAATGCTAATAAGTTTCTAACTTTACATAATTGTCATCCTGTTAAGAGCTTGCTGTTTCTTTTCAGGACCCCTATAAGCCAGAAATAGATAAGCCAGACTAAAGGGTTGAATGAGAGAAGGTGGAAAGTCATGAGAGATAAGCTACAAACAAATCTTTGAAGGATAGGAAATATATGAAAACCCTTGGATTGTGGCCTGTGTTGAGTGTAGATTTCATCCCAAGGAAGGAGCATATTGTTGCAGTGTTGTGAGCATTGAAATCACATGATTTGAATATGTGTTTTTAAAAGGATGCTGTTGGCATATGTGCAAAATTGGTTGCCATTGGGCAAGGGTAGAGAGCCTGTTCAAAGGCTCTTGCTGTATTTGAGTAGGAGATAATAGTGGCTTTGGTAGTGACAATGGTGGAATCTGAGGTAGTCAGTTTGAAGATAGTTACTATGTATTTTGAAGGTATAACTTGCATAATATTCCAGGATTTATTCCTGGGTTGGATATGTATGTAGTACAAGAAGAAAAAATTAATGAATGACTTCAAAGTTGAAGTGATTTAATGAATGATAGCACATTACTAAAATTGAGAGTGGGCGAATAAGATGTAGGGGTTTGTGACATCTGTAAAATTGAATGACCTATTGATGTTCAACTGGTTGTATGAATTAGGCAGTTAAGTTTGTAATTTGCAGTTAAGATTATAAATCAGGCTGTTTCAGAAATGAATAAAGGTAAAAGAAGAAAGAGGTCTGAGTGTTCATTGGGCACGCCACCAAGCTGTCCTGGGGAAGATCCGGGACTCCTTCCATGAGAGAGAAAGCGAGCAGGACTAGCAGTGACTAGCAGTGACTAGCAGTGACTAGCAGGACTAGCAGTGACTAGCAGTGACTAGCAGGACTAGCCAGTGACTAGCAGTGACTAGCAGTGACTAGTAGTGACTAGCAGGACTAGCCAGTGACTAGCAGTGACTAGCAGTGACTAGTAGTGACTAGCAGGACTAGCCAGTGACTAGCAGTGACTAGCAGTGACTAGCAGGACTAGCAGTGACTAGCAGTGACTAGCAGGACTAGCCAGTGACTAGCAGTGACTAGCAGTGACTAGCAGGACTAGCAGGACTAGCAGTGACTAGCCAGAGGGAAGTCACTAAGTGCAAAAAGTGTTTTCAAGATGAGACAATTATTAAATTTGTCAAAATCTGCTGACAGGGCAATAAATCAAATACTGACGACCAATCTTTGTATTTAAAAAATTTGTTTTTTAATTTTTGAAACAGGGATCTTTTATCCGCTGGGTCTGTCCTCAAATGCCCGCAGTAACCAGTGGGACTCTGTGCAGATCTCCTGGGTGGGTACTGTGGCCTACGTCTGTAAGATGGTACCCGCTGCCCTCTGTAGGGCACACTTAGAGGAAGCAGGAGCCGGAGCAGAAGTGACACCAGAACCCAATTGCTCCAAATGGAAAGTGGGCACCCCATGCAGCACCTCAGCCATGGCACCTCATACCAGCCCCTAACCTTTGCATTTTGTGGTACGATGGGCAGTTGGGTGGAGGAACGGGGCAAAAAAACCCATGTTCATAAAGCATGGGAATATGAGGAACAGTAAATAAAGACAACTGTTTGTAGTCATTTAAAAAAATTTTTTTTTTTTTTTTTGGAAAGTCAGACATACAGAGAGGAGGAGAGAAAGAGAGGAAGATCTTTCATCTGACAGTTCATTGCCCAAGCTGCCACAACGGACAGAGCTGCACCAATCTGAAGCCAGGAACCAGGAGCTTCTTTTGGGTCTCCCACATGGGTGCAGGATCCCAAGGCTTTGGGCCGTCCTCTACTGTTTTCCCAGACCACAAGCAGGAAGCTGGATGGGAAGTAGGGCCGCTGGGATTAGAATCAGCGTCTTTATGGGATCCCAGTGCATGTAAGGTGAGGACTTTAGCTGCTAGGCTATAGCGCCAAGCCCTGCAGTCATTTTTTCTATTTGAAGTTGAATAATTGCAAGCACGTGATTATTTTCAATTATATGTTAACTATTTTCCCTATGTTGTAAGCTCTGTGGAGAACTGTGTCTTGACCTGTTCGCTTTTGTCCTGTTTGTTGGATAATGGTTTATTATATTCCTTCCTGCCTGCCTTAAATTAGAGTCAGCCTCTCTCTGTGGTAGTGTCACCCAGGAATGAAACACTAACTGTCAGTTATATCAGAAGCCTTTTGGTTTGAGAGATGAAATTTAGATGAGTTTCAGTTTGCGAGATTGTAAAATTCAGTCCCAGTTTTAAATACTTCACTTGGAAATAGCTGGTCCACAAGATGTTGTTAAGGCAAATAATACAGAGTGTTTCTTATGCCCTCATCCCAACTATTGCTCTCCTTTTAAAAAAAGATTTATTTATTTTTAAAAGATATTAAATATATTTTTAAAAGATAATTTGTATTATTTATTCTGCCTTTTATTGGAAAGGCAGATTTTACAGAGAGAAGGACAAAGATCTTCCACCTGCTGATTCATTCCTAAAGTGGCCACAGTGGCTGGTTCTGAGCTGATCCAAAGGCAGGAGCCAGGAGCAGCTTCCGGGTCTCCCACGCAGGTGCATGGTCCCAAGGCTTTGGGACTTCATCTACTCCTTTAATCAGGCTACAAGCAGGGAGTAGGTTGGGAAGTGGAGCAGCTGGGACACACGCTGGCTCCTGTATGGGATCCCAGCGTGTG